CCTACAAAAGTAACAAAATGCCTCAGTTCATAGCAGTTTATTCTTTCTTCAATGCACACATGTAAATGGGAGTTACACATGTGTATGAAAGGGAGAATAAGCCAATAAATGTTGGGAGCTTTTAATTAATTTTATATTCATAGAATCTAAAGATGGTCAAACCTATTTTTCTTTCATTTGTTTTTTAAAAAGTCCTTAGAGTGCTGCGATGACCTTGTATGTTATGTTTCAGCTTCGGCACATTTAATAGCAGAGTTATTAACACTGTCCTTCATTAGCTTCATGCAATGCCTGGGTGATTTTAGCACTGCAACATAGATAGCCAGATAGGAAAACAGCACTGTATAATCAAATGATGGACAAATGGAACCAGATGTGGTCAAATATTTAATATGTAAACAGATTTGTTCGTTGGAATATGTAATTTGCTAATTATTCACTGATTATCAAGTTACAATTAAAGGAAAATTGGTAACGTTAATAACAAGTTAAATATTTTGCTATTCCATAGCCCTTCTAAATCACAACATTGAAACTACTATGAGAACCTGACTCTTCCTGCACCACAGAGTTATGTTGTTTGTGTTAAATTAGCCCTCCTTTGTGCTGAAAGCACACAAGGCCTAGATAAGAGCACTGTATCTGAAACACTTGGAGCAGCTGTCATAGTAGAATTCTAAGTGTAAATGATGTAGCCAAAGCCATACTGCAAGTAACAGTAACAGAGCCTGGAATAAAACCAATGGATCTTGTTTCCCACTTCACACTCCAACAATCACCTGTGGCTACCTCCTGCTTACAGGTCACTTGATCCCTTCTGCTTTGCAGAATGGAGGAAGAGGAACAATGCTATATTAACTATTTAAGCTAAAAAAATTTAAAGAATGGAATAGAAAGGCCACTGAGGGCATGTCCCCAGGAGAGGAACATGCATTTCCCGGCGATAAATAGCAGTGGCACATATTTGTGCCACTGCTATTTGTTCCCAGGGAACGCCCCTGCATGCATGCTCTGGCACATGGCAAGTTGCCCTGAGTGGGGTAGGGTATACTGGCCCTGAGCTGGCCCCAGGAGCCTTACCTGGAGTTCTGGGAGCCTCCCAGGGCTGCAGAGGTGGCAATCTGAGTGTGCAGAGCCTGGCTGGCAGCCAGAGCAGAACACCACCCCCCCCCGAGAAAAAAAAAAAGGGTTGTCATCAGTATATTTGCCCCAGGCAAACCTGATGATGGAAGGCAGAAACAATTTACCACCTCCCCCGGCACAGCTCATTCACCAGGGAGGTGTGGAGGAGAGTAATCATACTCCTGATGGTGACAGGGGTCAAAATCCTGGCCAGAGAGGTGGTGCTTTTCAGTCACTTGACCAAGCAGTGGAAAAGCCCGACAACCCGCTAGAACCAGTTCTCCTGCTTCAGGAACGGCTTGTGGAAGACCAGGAACTTTTCAGTCAAGTCCATCAAAATAGGACCAAGATGCAGGGGTACTACAGAAAGACAGTTGAAGATGACAGGGAGGAGATGGTAGAGAACATATGGAAGAGAAAAGATGGAGACAGATTGTTCAGAGGTGAGAACACCACTGTGAAGACAGGCACAGACAGTTCAGAGACAGGAGCAACAACAATGACGATGACAACAACAATGAGGATGAGAGTAAGGACAATGATTACAACAACAGGTGAAAGGACTAGGGAAAAGGCAGGAAATTGGGAAGGATGGAGGAGGGGCACTGCATGACTGTGTTACAGGAGATTGTGATGGGCACGCAGATGTGTGGGTGCACAGGAATGCAGGTGCACAGTGTGGTCATTGTAACAGGAATGAAAATAGTGTGACTGCAAAGATGTGGCTTGGATTGTTGAGTGAACCATATGGGTCATGAGACAGATGCATAGAGGTATATGCTAAGCACAACTATAAAACACATAGCTCAAGCTCACACAGGGCAAATATACTGTTTTTGGTATATCTATCTATCTAGGGTAAATATACTGATTTTTTTTTGTTGCAAAATTGTTATTATTTTATTTATATACTGTGAACTGTACCCCCCTTGCCCCCCCCCACACAAACATTATGATATATAATACATAATGTTTGTGCAGGGGTGTGTGGGTACAGTTTCCAGTATATAAAAGAGAATAAAAACAATTTTGGGGAAAAAATACAGTGTATTTACCCCTTTTGGGCTATGTGTTTTATAGTCATGTTCTGATCAGTGTTGGCTGCATATAAACAACTTCCTAGTTGTTTTCTGTTACTGAGAACATGCTGCCTTTGGCAGTAGTATAATGATAGACAATTTATTTCATGAAGTTTCCTTGGATCTGAATGTAAGACTAGGGGCTTTGCCCTCCATGCTGATTGGGGAAAAAACCTTGTCTTGTATTCAAGTAAGTATGGTATCTTTGTCTTCCTGTTTAGTGCAAGATTACTGTCTGCTGCAGTAAGTTCAAGAAGTAGATTGTATTGTTTATTCCCACATGCGGTTTTTATGCAATGATCATTCCTTGCTCCTTAAAAGTATCTAGTGCTATGCTGAGAGAATGCAAGGGTTTTTGACGAGCTCAAGATAATTTATTTGGTATGCTGGGAAACTTCTATGCCACTTCTTTTCAACCAGTGCCGTGGCATACCGGTGTGCCATGAAGAGCTCCCTGGTGCATTGCAAGAATTTTGGAATAATGAGAAGAAAGTTCTCCAGCTGTCTAGCGCTAACAAATAAGCCGCGTCAATGAGATATGCACAGAAGACTTGTACATGTGCTGGCTGTGGGGAAAGGGGTGGGGGGGGAACTAGCTGAACAGAAGGAAATCCATCTACAGCGCATGTGTTGGCTGTGGGGGATGCGCAGTTCATGAGCCTCTGAACAGCTGTGCTGCGGAATTTTGCTGCGGCAATGAGCTCATAAGTATGGGGATTGGGAATGCCTTAACAGGTGTTCTGCGGAACATTTTTATTAACGTAAGTGTGCCTTGGGCTGAAAAAGGTTGGGAAACACTGCTCTATGCAGTAGTAACATTTTCAGGTGACACGGACTATACTGGGAAGATCATAAAAGTCTCAAAATACCACAGACCATGTTTAAAGTATTTAGTTTGAAAGCACTGGTGTGCTCTGAGTTCTCTCTTTTGTATGCCAGAAAATATAAGTAGTGCTCATTAAAACACAACAAGCATCAGTTGTACAACAGGGAACCTGACATTTAATCCCTCCAATAAAGTGCTGCTAGTTCACAGCATTTAAGGCAATCAAGTGATCCAATGAAGAGCCCTTTTTGTCCTCTACTATCTGTAATTACTGCATACCTGTCAAGACCGGCACAAAATTTGCCCAGTCCACACAATGGACCGAAGTTGGAAGGATTCAGCAAAGACCTGCTTCCTTAAAAGGAATCACTGAGAACGTAGTTGAAGGGAAACCAACTTGCTAAGAGAGAACAAGAGAAGTACATTATTATCATATCCAGTTACTTGGGTTCTTTATGGCCAGTGATTCAAGGCTTTACTGAAAGCAGTTGCTTGATAGCACCCTCTAGAGAAAATGGGAAAGGGAGACAAACAAAGAGACTGTTGGTGTGTTGCTACAGTAGTACATGATCATATTTTTACAGTTGCAATCTATCACATGCAAAGTACGACAGTTCTGCTTTTTTAGGCACAGGGTCAGTAGCGTAGCAAGCCGAGGTGACGTCCGGGACAAACCTGTGGGAGATCCAGAGGGGGTGTGTGCAGAAAGTATGTGGTTCTCAGAGTGAGGAAGAGGGCATGGCTCATGGTGGGAAATGATGGGGGCATGAAGAGGTGGAGGGTGCAGATCCAAGAGCCGGGGGCGGGGGGCAGCCTTACCAATGCTAGCAATGTCTAAGCAGTACCAGGTGTGCTGCTGCCAATGCATGTGCTTTGCCCACCCTGGCTCTATTGCTCTTAGTGGCAGCAGCTGAGCACAATTTTGGAGTTCTTGGCATGGCAATGCTCCCAGAGCACAGAATCTGCAGGACTGGGGGACAATTCTGGCACCCCTTCTAAGCTGGCTCCTGGGGCAGGTGCCCCTCTCAACCACCCCTAGTTATGATAGTGCACAGGGCACAGAAAACAGTAAACAGTGTTCTCAGAATTTTGCTATGTGTATGGCTGACTGCAGAGCTGCGCTTTCAAAAGGAAACACAAACAGAGCAGCTGCCAGAGAATCTAAAACAAAAATACGGCAGTGATGGAGCATATCAAAAAGGAATGGCATAGCTTAAGAACAAGAGCAAAATCTTCAGCCCCCCACACTCTATTTATACCTGAACACAACATTCTGTTTCAGCTGAGAGACAGCGCATGCAGCCCAATCATTTCTTTGTGAACTTCGGTGATTACTGCAAAGTATTTTTGTAACACTGAGTACAAGGGACTTCAAGGTCATAATAAACAAACAACAAACACACATCCTATTCAACATCATTGCCTTTGCTTCTACAGAAGGAGGAATCGGAAATGCGCTTTTGACCTATACAGGCCTATGATTTATCTTTGTAACTCAACAAAACTAAGATTTGGGCCTACCTGCATGTATTTTGGGACTGATTTGTTTACAACAAATAGCATAGCAACTCAAATAGAAATGGCAATCTTTTCACTGTTTTGTGTTACTTCAAAATATTTCAAAGCATCCCCCATGATTCTAAGATATTGGAATGGGTGTTGCAGTTAGACAGCAGGTCACTTTGTACTGTCCCAGTCCAAGATTTTAACAATAAAGCCATTTGAAGCTAAACAGAATCCAGTGTTGAAGCTAAAAAGAAACTAGTTAAACACTTTAATTTCTCTCTCTCTAATACACACACACACTCTCTCTCTCTCTCTCTCTCTCTCTCCCTCTCCCCATCAGGGGTGGGACAAAAAGCAGCCTTCAGGCTGGATACTGCCCGCTGGGCCATTCTACCTGGCCTGTGGGGCCCCTAAAAAATTTAGAAAATGAATATTGATCTGCCCCTGGCTGCCTGTCATGTGGCCCTCAATGGCTTGCCAAAACTCAGTAAGTAGCCCTCTGCTCGAAATAACTGTCCCCCCACTACATGCAAGAAAAAACATTTACAAGTTTTTAGAGAGCCCCAATAGCCGAAAAGCAAAAAAAAAAAATATACGAAGTCAAACTACACTAGCAAATATCGAAATACCAGTTAATAACCCTCCAATGTCCCCATACTCCACTAACATCTTATAAAAGATCAGTTTGAATTTCTATGGCAGGTATCACAAAGTGGTTGGCTCAAGCAGTCTTCCAAGATCTTACTCAGATGCAACCAAGCTGTGACTCTTTGCAGCAAATGCCTGTTAGGTTTGGGGTTGTGCATTTTGCAAAGAACCAGTTTGAGAAGAGAAGGCTGGGCAAGCAGGAGGAGTATTTATTTAGAGGATTCCCAAGCCAGTTTAGTGTTATCAATACTCAGGTATATATCTTTATTTAGCTTTTACTGCACCAAGATTATTTTATAGAAAAATTAAATTCTGAATTAGTTGCACACAAAAACTTATTAATACAAACAATATTAAGGTCTGTTTCCTCCTTAAGTTAAACTCATTAATCACCAGAGGTTTCATGGAAGTACAGAACTCCTTCCAATCTCAATTGTGCTCTTTGCATCTCATTACTAGCTTTTTGAAATTATGACAATAATATGTACTTTAAGTCTTGTATTATCTGCCCATCCATCACACCAAAAAGTAGCCAATTTTGGGGAGCATAAAATCAGATATTTCACATACTTCTGAAAACCAGAGATAATCCATATCACTTCTGGTTCCTGTTACTGAAGCCACCTTTGTGGCTGAAGGTGAGCTGTTTAGCCTAAGGCTACTTCCTAAATCAGAAAATATACATATTCATGTGGCAGCAGGCAGTGTCTCTGCAGTCTCAGCAAGCAACTGCTCAGCACTACAGAAGCATTCATTGGTGGGGTGGGAAGAGTAGAGGGACAAATCAGATAATCTCACCTAAATTCTTTCAAATTTGGGACAAAAGTCCCCTTCCAGAAACATTTTTAGGAAAACCATGGCATATACATGAAGTTCAGGATTGTCCCAGAAAATTCAGGGCAGGTGGTTGTTTTATTGGGGAGGTGGTAGCAACTGATCTGGATACATTTATGTGTTTTTCATTTTCTGTTCTGTCCCACTTCTCAGAAAGATGTAATTTTGGGAAACATATTCAAACAAGGGAATTACTTCACAAAAAAAAGAAAGGAGACACTCAAGGCCAAGATTTTCCCTGTCCCAATCAACAAATTACATAGTGGTCCTAGAGTGATGTACCTGCAGGATGCTGAAGTCATTAATAGGCAACAATCTTTATACCTCCTCAGGCTATGTTGCTGGCTAGGGAACCTGAATCAGGAGGAGGGGTCAGACTCTAGCACTCTTTTCACTCTAGGATGTGGTAAAGTTTAAAAATCACAAAAACAGTGTTCAATTCTAACTATGAAGTTTGGTGAGGAGATTAAACCCAGTTTTAGCATAGTTCAAACTATTAGAACTGGAACTTATCTTCAGAGGCAACAGGTACAGGACATTCTGATGAAGAGCCTATAAAATGGTGGGGGCCAACCGTTTTGGCAGGCATGGCACAACTTAGCCCTGCACTGTCCCTGAGTGCCACTCCCATCCCTT